TTCTCTCTTCTCCTAAGGAACCGGGCCTGGAAGATTGTAGCCGTTAGGGTTAACCTTATTAGCCTTAACACCCCTCGACAAATCGATGTCAGCCAGTTTTTTGTCAACCGCAAATAGCAACGTCGGTTGGACGGTAAGGCATTCATTTCGGACATCAGTCTGCTAACCACATTCATCAATAATATCCTTCTATCGGAAGCTGTCATCGAATGGTTTATCAGGCACTTCGATTACGTCATCCCCACTCCACGCTCACAAATGTCTGCATAAGATAAGTGCTTTTACTGTCATTTACTAAGAGATCCAATAAAATGCTAGAAGTCATTATTCTTTTGACTGAACGAACACATTGGCAACACGATATCAGTCATGCGAGAGTTGCCAGTATTAATTTCGAAAGTGGTAATCTGAACGTTCGCAGGTACATTGGTAAACAGCCTACTTCGGTTTATAGAAACGTTTAGGTGATGCAACTTTAGCATGCGCCAACGGCGAATCAAACAGACTGCCTTCTAGAAACTAAAAAGTTATATACAAAAATCGTTACTGTTATAAAGCTGGTGGGAAACAGAAGTAAACTGGTACAATTACCTGTTCTTGTACGTCATTCAACTGCCTATCGTCTTCCGCTTGCCTGTGAAACTGAGACTCTAGGTGTTTTTCCCGTGAATCGGACTCCTTTGGGGGTCCACGCGTTTCCCTGTAAACGGTTGCATCCTCTCGTAACGTGGTCGGATTCTTGGGGTAAAACGTATTTGTGGACGGCGATAAAAAAATGTGCGTACAAATGCATACAAACATGCAGTACTGGAACAATTACAAGAAGAAACCCCTCCGCTTCTATATAAGGATATGCATTTGGTGAATATATACAGTAAAATTGTGCTCAAGTAGCAAGTAACAACAATCTTTTGTCGTTGTTACGCAGACTAAAATTGTTGGGACTGTACGTCATTAATGGTTTATCCTAACGCGTGCGTACTTTGTTTAATGTATACAATGCAACCATCTAAAGTGTGATTTATCTTTTTTGATGTACTTCCGGTATCCTAAAAAAGTCCACTGGCCTTATTTATGTATAGAGTAAATTATACCCTAGATAGGAAAGTTCTTACAAGATAATAACGAAATTTTCTCAGTATATTAAGCTCGCCTATCAGAAGGGGAGATGGATAGTTGACTTTAACGAGACGCTGAAGTCCTCAAAATTTTACCATCGAGAGCGATGACGCCCACTACGGCGTAATGGACGCCGGATGGTGACCTTGAGGTGAATTAATTTGCAGTGATAGCCCAATTGCGCAGCATCCGCCACACTCTCACCTCACTCACCGAATTGGGCCCAGTGGTACGACATTTTTCAAGACGATTGGGGGTGGGCAGTGACTGGCAAAACCCGTCTTCGCATGTCACGCTCAACCTGGTGCCCGCAAAATTTAACAGACAATCACAATGAGAGGGCGGCTCGGATCACGCTCAGAAGGAACGATTGCGTTTAAATCGCCGTTCTGAGCGGGTCGACTAAACTCGTCAGTTGACAGCCACCCGAACCTTCAACTTTTCCTATTTATTATTTGCGAGGAGTGTGCTGATTGGCCGTGCGGTTGGATGTCCGAGAGTCGACCTCACTCCCTCTCTTCTCTCTCCCCCACCCCCAAGTAAACTTTGCGAGTCTCTCGGCCATCCGGTGCTGGGATTGGACACGGTCGGTGGCGCTGTATGCAGCCGACGCCTAGGCGTGCGACTACACTCTCGGGGACAACAGTAAGTACGGTAGTCGCCGGCTATTAAGCCCACCTAGGGGTCCAGACCAAATTGGGCTTACTAAGCGGCTGGGCTTATTAACCGTGGGCTTAA